ATTGAAAACAACTACATTTTATTTATATTATATCCTGTGTAATCCAGCATTTTCTCACTTTCACTTCTCAAAACATCGTTATCTCAAGGCTAGGTCACGCCGATTCTGCGCTGCTGTTTTTCCACTCGCTTCTGACGTGAGCCCTGCTTCTACAGGTCTCGCGATATTAGGCTAAGACTTAACATAACAGTTGCTCTGTTTCTAACAAATTAAAGTGGCTCCACTTAAACCCTCTCTTTCTTTCCTGCTTCCACAAGGGGCACAGATGATGCAGATTAGGCACTACTGTATATTCCAAAATACTAGGGATTAAGGTTGATGTTTCTAACCACACACATCCAGTGCCAGCTTTTGGCATTCAGAGATTTAGGGACACCCAGAGCATGAGGTTTCTTCCCTGACCATCTTGGCTAATAGCCATTGATTGATCTATCTTCCATTAATGTATCTAATTCTTCTTTGAACCCACTTATACTTTTTGCCTTCACAACATCCCCTGGCCATGAGTTCCACAGGTTGACTGTGCACTGTGTGAAGAAAAACTTCCTTACATTTATTTTAAACCTTCTACCTATTAATTTCACAGGGTGACCCCTGGTTCTTGTGTTATGTGAAGAGGTAAATAACACTTAGTCACTTTCTCCACACCATTCATAATTTTATAGACCTCTATCATATCCCCCTTTAGTCATCTCTTTTCTAAGATGAACATTCCCAGCTCTCCTCATATGAAAGCTGTTCGATACCACTCATCATTTTCGTTGCCCATCTCTGTATTTTTTCCAATAAAAATATATCTTTTTTGAGATGGGGTGACCAGAACTGTACACAGCATTCAAGATGTGGTCATACCATGGCTTTATATAGTGGCGTTATGATATTTTTTGTCTTATCTATCCCTTTCCTAGTGCTTCCTATCATTCTGTTAGCTTTTTTGACTGCTGCTGCACATTGAGCAGATGTTTTCAGGGAAGTACTCACAATGACTCCTCGCTCTCTATCCTGAGTGGTAGCAGCTAATTTAGACCCCATCATTTTGCATGTATAGTTGGGATTATGTTTTCCAATGTGCATTACTTTGCATTTATCAATATTGAATTTTATCTGCCATTTTGTTACCCAGTCACCCAGTTTTGTGAGATCCCTTTATCATTCTTCACAGCCAGCTTTGGACCTAGCTATCTTGAGTAATTTTGTATTGTCTGCAAACTTTACCACCTCACTATTTACCCCTTTTTCCAGATCATTTATGAATATGTTGAACAGCACTGGGCCCGGTATGGATCCTTAAGGGCTCTTTCCACTGTGAAAACTGACAATTTATTCCTACCCTTTGTTTCCTATCTTTTAACTAGTTACGGATTTATGAGAGGACCTTCCCTCTTATCCCAGGAGTGGTTAGTTTGCTTAAGAGCCTTCAATGAGGGACCTTGTCAAAGGCATTCTGAAAGTACAAGTACACTGGATCACTCTTGTCCGCATTTGTTGTTCCTTCTAAGAGCATGCCTACCAGCACACCAGAGAGGGAAAAACCAGTCAAAAACCAGATAAAATCCTCACAGAGAAAAGACAGTCTAGGAGAGCCACTCCTGATCCTTAAAACAGCTTGCAAGGGGTATATTGAAACCAGTGGGATAGCGACCAAGCCATTTGTCTCAGCTATTATTTATTTACTTATTTATTTATTTAGATATACGCAAGATCAGCTTCTCTAATGTGGTAGATCCTTTTTGCACCTCTACTTGAACCTAAAACAGCCAGAAATGGCTAGAAAAGAATTTCCCTTGTACAGGAAACTCTTCTCCAGCATAGCTGCCTCCTTCCCTGTCACCTCCCATCCCTAATAAGGTGTGGGAGATTGTGGGAAGGAGGCATGACAGAGCAGACTTCTGACACACCTGATCTTTGACTAACAAAGTTCCCTAGGGACCTTACATCAGTGTGTAAGTTAGAATTGCTCCCCGGTGACTCTAATTTGCACTGGGGCTGAGTGGCTCAGGACTATGGAGCTGCAGCTCCCTGACAATGCCCCTTCTCACTGCATATGTGCAGAGCTTGGATACATTCAAGAATCTGCCCTGCCGTGTTTAAAAACACACACAAAAATTAGAGTGGATAACATGAGTTTGGGAGTGAAGGTTTTAAAGGGCTTTCATGTGGGATCTGGGATTCATCTGGGATATTTACTCACCACTGGTATTCACGATCTGTTTTATTGTTTATTCTTTCTTTTCTAACATTGGCCAAACCACCTCTTTTTTAAAAATAATCCCTTCTATTTGTCTTTAAAAATTCTACATTAATTTTAAGTTTCAGTACAGATGATGAAAGTCTGCTGCTCACTTGTTTTGTTAAATTGACTCAGCTGAGGGAAGTGTTCCTTGTTTGTAATTGACAGGGGTCATTGCTCCTAAGCATGCAGATTCAGTTGGGTTGTACTCCTGGTAGATGGGCAGCAGCAACTAGAGCAAGATTTAAACAAGACAGGCTAACAGAAATTGTTGCTGGCATGTGGTATCAAGGAGGGCATTCAATATCATAGTGGGGAAATTGCTGCACTTTGTGGTTGTTTTCAGAGCAGGGTGGTTATTCTGTCCTCCCAGCAAGTGTGTTGCAATTAGTTCTTTGGAAAAATGGGGTGAAATTGTGTAATTTGTTTTCTGTTTTCAATCAATTTAGTTTTTGTTGAAATTTTCTGACCAGCGTTAGCTGCAGTGATGGCAGCAGCAGGGAAATAGATTTACTCCCAAAATTGCATTTCTTTTGTAGCAATCCAGGCCGCATACAAACAAATACCAGTCTCAGCAGCTAGCTGCATGTATGCAGTATTTGAAATTGACTTTAAATATAAATATATAGAAACCTCTACCCAGGGCACCTAAAGCAATGCTCTGCTTGCTCATCCTGCAGAAGAAAATGAAATACAAGCAAGCAGATCTGACATATTCTGACTGTTAAAGGGCTGTGGTAAAAACCAGTCCACAGAAATTAGAGGTGGAAAACATCTAAACATTCATCTGGTGCATCCCTTTGTCAGTACCAGATTATTCCCTATGGTTTATAGCATATTTTTCTAGTGCTTTGTCCAGTCCAATGACTCAAACAATGGTGTTTCCATTGCTTCCCTTGGAAGTATAATAGATCTTGCCAATAAGCAGTGGTTTTCTGATATTTAGTCTATTTTCCTTTGTTTTAACTCCTGGTCAGTACCAGGTTCAAGTGAGCAGTTTTATACTATCTTTTCTGGATGATAGTGTATATGTTTGTATCACATTACTGTGCCTCTGTAGCTCCATTGTATGTAACCATAAAGTGTTTATCAAAATCAACAATATTACAGTGCTCAAATTAATAAAGTTTGTGAATTACTGTACATAAAATATCTGTCTGGTACACTCACAGCACTTCATTTTGACCACTTCAGTCATTGCTGGATATGCTATTTATCATGGTTTAAAAGAAATTAACTTTGCAAACATGAGTAAATCACTCAAGTGTGCAAAAATATGGTATTAGAACAGGTGCAATTATCTGAAAATCTTTTGGAAAGAAGAAAAAAATCCTGACTACTGACATTGAAAGGCAACAATCCTTTATATTAATATTAAAGATTGCATTGTACTCAATCAAGGGAATGTTTGGCAGTACATTTAAACGTGTTTATTATTTAGCACACTGGAGCCTGTTAAATACCTCTGTTTCCTTTATGGACAGAGCTTCAGTGTCAAGAGGTCTGTACCATGTACAAGTATAGATATGCTTTTATCTGCAAGATTGTCCCATTGTGAACCAAACAGCATACATGGATGTACAAACACACATTGATTATGTGGTTCTGTAGTTGTCTGGCTATACTGAAGGAAGGACAGGAGACATTTGACATGAATTTAATCAGGCCACAACTTTATTATTAGCTGTCTGGGACTATCTGGGAGATAAAAGTGTACAGTGCAGGTAACCCCATGTTTATTCCATAATTACTGGGGGGGGGGCTTTTACCAGCTCCCCCTCTTTTTCCATCCAGGTCCCGCTAGCAAATCCATTGCTGGGACCTTGCCATCTACTCCTACCCCCTCGTAGGTGGGTTAAGGTGGGCTATAATAACAGGGGTTGGCTCCCTGCTGTACCAATCATAGGAGTCCCCAACCACCCCCCGTTCGCTCCTTTACCGAACACCTCTTTTTAAGTCTCTTTTCCAAGCCATTTATCTGGTCACTGTATACCTTTCCTATGGAGTACCTGCACTGGACATCCACCACAAGGAGGCACCAGCCATTAGCTTGGCTGCCTCAGCCTGCACCGTGCAAAAGGGTGGGTTAAGGCACAGGGCTGCCCCTTTTAAACTCCTCATTCTCAGGGGATGAGACATATTTTCTGTTAACAATTTGGGCTATTACTCACTTTTATTTCTATTACTTTAGGAAAGCACTTAAATTCAGCTTTAAGAATTATTTAGAGGCACAAATATATTTTAGGTTATAGTGTATATAACCAGCTTTACTATAACATCTGAGTTCCTTTCATACAACTGAATTTATGAATTTATCTTCAAACTGTACACACAATGCTATTTCTTTTTTAACTTTGTCTTCTTGGGACAATTCTGTCCTGCAACATGATTACTGTTCACTGTCATGAATGATATAATTTGCAGCTGAAGATTACAGTATGGTAAAAGTTCCACTATTGTCTCAAACATTAAATATTTTTTTCAGTATTTTCCTACCTATCTCTTACGTATTTATAAAAAACGTGGACCAAGGTTTTCAAATATGAATGCCTGAAGTTAGGCTTCCTAATCCATTTATAGGATCTAACTAAGATTTTCAAGCACTTCTTCAGCACAATTTTCAAAAGTGCTGAAGAAGTGCTAAAAGTGGGGTTTGGAGCCTGAATGAGGCTCTCTTTTTGAAAACCTTGGCCTGGATTTCTTGGAAAAACTAAAGCAAAATCTTACTTTTAACCTTGTAATATTATGTGCATAAATCTGTCTTCATTAGGTGGTGCTCATGAAGGTCTTCAGCACTTGGGTCCTTATGGCAATATCCCAAATATTGTGGCTGAGTTGACAGGAGATAATATACCAAAGGATTTCAGTGAAGATCAAGGCTATCCTGACCCTCCAAATCCCTGCCCTATTGGAAACACAGGTTATTCTATTCTATTCTATTCTATTCTATTCTATTCTATTCAGGTTCTTTATACCATGCTTGTCATCATAGTATCTGAGCACTTTCCAATAGTGCATTAAGTCAGAGGTTCTCAACCTTTTTTGAATCATACTCCAACTGAGCTTTTTTTTTATTATTTTTTACTTGTGGCCCCCTCACTTCCTTACAGTAGTGAGAAGTGTGGTGCATGGGGTCACAATGCCATTCAAATTTGGCCCAGCCAACCCTCCGTCATGACAGGCAGGTGTAGGTGTGTTTACAGGTACCCTCAAGGCAGAGGTGTAGTGGTACTGCAAGTTAAGGGGGCCTTCAGGACAGAAGTGCAGGGGGCCTTGGGGCACGGGTGTGTGAGGTGCAGGTGAGTGGTCAACTGGGGGTTGTGCAGGACCTAAACTCTTATTTTGTAATTGGTTTGATATTAAGTAGGCAGCAGAATCCGTCACCCTCCAATAAGAGCTGGATTACCCCACCCCCATTCCTTCAATCCCCAGGGAAGGGTGGGGGTGATGAGCCCCTGCACCTTAAAGCTGGCCCCATCTCAGAGACCCTTGGAGGCTCTGTGGGGGAGTTGCAATGATGGGGCTCCCCTGTCCCAGAGCTGCACCCTGCGGGAGTTACAAACCCCAGCTTCCACCTGGTGCCACTCGCTTGGGCTCCCCTGAGCCCATCCCTGGTGCAGCCAGGCAACCAGGGAAGGCAAAGTCATCAGGGTTGCGCAGGCGCCACTGCTGCTCCAAGGGCTTGGCCTGCGCCACCTGGCAGAGGTGGAACTGCACCTGGGCGAAGTGTGAGACCAGCACCAGGAGGGCCAAGCCCAGGTGGTGGTACTCGATGTGGAGCCGGGGCAACAAGTAGGGCAATCCCTCTGGGGAGCCTGGTCCCTACCTGCAAGGATCTCCATCCCCCTCTTTGTTCACCTCTGCCACCGCCTCCAACAGGTCATGACAGAGAGACAGCGATGCCAAATCACGTTTGTTCTCTCAGCCTCTCCACTGTGGGGGAAGTATAAGTAAGGCTAAGATTTTGTCACAAATATTTTTAGTAAAAGTCATGGACAGATCATGAAGAATAATAAAAAATTCACGGATGCCCGTGACCTGTCTGACTTTTACTAAAAATATCCATGATATAATGAAGAGCCTGGGCAGCTGCGGGTGGGCTGGAAGCTCCAGGGTCCCCCTCCGCTGGTGGCTCCAAACTCTGGGCATTCTCCCTGCTGCTCGTGGTGGCTGGAAACTGCGGGAGTCCCCGCTGCTGCCCATGGCCTGGGCTGGCTGAAGTCACAGAGGTCTTTGGAAGTTACAGAATCTGTGACTTCTGTGACCTTCGTGACTAAATCGCAGCTTTAAGTAGAAGCAGAGGAATGTTTTTGTTTTGGAGTTTGTTTACCCACACACAGACTCACAAACACACACACTGCTTGATGTTAGAGAAAGCAAGGTCTGCACTTACCATATGTGATAGTGAGGTAGTGATGGTTCTTAGTTTCTGATGTTCGTTCCACAGTCTTGGGCTGGCTCCCAAGAAAGCTCTGTTTCCTGCATGAGCTTTACCCTCATTGTAGAAAATTCCATTGTGCCAGAAAAGCAAAGTGGTCTTCATCCTAGAGCTTTAGCTGATCCTTTCAGATACCCTGGGCACAATTCATGTGAGTTCGTAGTTTACTAAGGGACAGATTCAGCTGTGGTGCGCCCTCAGGGTTCCAGCACTTAAATCAGTGACTAAAATCTGGTTGTTTGCAATGGGAGCTGAATGGGCTCTAACGGGAGTGAGTACTATATCATTTAAACCATATTTTAAATTTCTGAACTTAGATGTACTTTCATAATTGAGAAAAGTTTTCTGTGTAGTATTTAGTAATGGTATTTGGATGAGATACAGTAACACAATTTTCCTTAATCTTTTAACTAAATGTTCTGACTAGCTGTAGAGCTGATCAGAAAAGAAAAAATATTTTTCATAAAAATATCTGCAATTTTTCCCCATTTTTTGTCAAAATTCTGAAAATTTCCAAACAGCCCTAATGATAACTTTATATGAAATGTATGAAGAGCTCCCGATTGCTGCTATGTCGAGAGAGGCAAAAAGTATGGTGACTGCTTCTCTTTGAAATAGTATCGTAAGTTCATATTCAGTTCAATGAACATTTTGTCCGACAGGTGTAGATTATATTTTTCCCCACTGCAGGCAAATTTTCTCTTCTGTATATTTACCCCTCAGATCTTCTGCTAGTGGTTAGAAGAGCAAGATTAAAATTGGGACTTCAATGGAATGATGTTTAAAATACTCCCTTCTATTCTTTTTCTTAGCTAAATAATCATGATTTTGCCTAAGATGATGCATCCAGATATGAGAATTGAGAACATTCCTGGAAAAGTGCTGCTGACTGTGAAATGTTCTTTCATGGATACATTCTGAGTGGAGATTATATCTACTAGTATCTCAGTAGGATGATTTTCAGAGCCTTAAGTGGAAACTCAAGTCTGTGTCCAAGTGGTGACTGTTAAAACTATATTAAGCAAAGAAATTACTAGAGAATTTCCTCATTGAGGTTTGTGGATTTGTTTAGTGGAAAACAAATCATTCCAAGTTATTGTTTATACAGTAACGCTGGTATCCATCAATGCTGGATTAAGGCAATCTCGGGCCCTGAGACAGGGCCACCACAGCCCTGCTACAGCCCCATCCCCGGCTTGAGGTGATAGTGTTGGGTCACCCACGCACAGCCCTCTACTCGGGAATGGTTGAGGAGCAGTACCCTACACAGCTCAGGTGTGGGTTGGTGGCAGAGGGCAAGTTACAAATGATTTCTGTGCTAGGATGAGGGGCACAGTGGTAGTTCAGGAGGGTTTCTCGCAAGGAGGTGAGGAATAGCAGCGGTGGCTGGGGCCCCCTTTCTCTCTGGGCTTATCCCTAACACTGAGCACATCTACATTGCATTATAAAACCCATGTCAGCATGTCTCTGAGCCTGGCTCTACAGACTCAGCCTCACACTATGGTGCTAAAAGCAGCAGTGTCAGTGTTCAGGCTCAGGCTGGAGCTTAGGCTCTGAAACCCAGGGAAGGGAATGGGCTTCAGAGCCTTAGCTCCAATGCAAACCCACAGTGTCTGCACTGCTGTTTTTAGCACTGTAGTATGAACCCTGCAATCCCAGTCCATAGATCCGGGCTCTGAGACTTGCTCCCGCAGGTTTTAAAAAACTGTGTCGACGTGCTCACTGATGCCTGCAACAACAGTGGGCTGGGGAGGAGGGAAGTAGGCTGTAGGCTCCAGCAATAGGTTGGAGGTCCCTTCCCCTCCAGGCAGTGGTAATAGTCTCCATTCCTGTTGGCCTATCTAAAGAGCTGCAGTGATGGCAAGAACAGTAGTCAGGAGGGAGGCAGAAGGCAAGTCCCATCTTGACAAAAAAATCAAAGCAGTTGTCTAGAGCCTTGTCCCTCCCCAGACCCCCCCCCCTCGAAGAACCGGAAGTGGCAGTGGTAGGCTGCCCTCTTACCAAAGGTACTTACCAAAGCTGGAGACCTCTACTATGAGTAGTAGAAGTTAGGACTCTTGCCCCTGCTAGGTCAGGGCTTCTTCATTCCTCCAGTGGAGCATACAGTCTTATGCTCCTCACAGACTCTGGCCTCTGCACGATAGCATTACTGTGATATCATCAAGCAAAGACATTATTCCTGAACCAGGAGCCCTAGCACTATACCTATTGTGCCTAAAGATTAATCTTACCTTTGTCCATAATTATTATATTGTTGCTCCTTTTCCCAATAGCAGCCAAGTGGTAGCAGATGTCCAAGGCATGGCAGGTTGGCTATCCATTAGAGGAGAAATCAGTGATTGCAGAGTCTGAGTATATACTAAGTGGAACTTTTTATTTATTTATTTATTTTATTTACTTACACACACACACACACACACACACACACACACACACACACACACACACACACACACACACACACACACACACACGTACGTAC